AATATTGTAAAACCCCTAATTTGCAGTGGTATTTGCTCCTGTTTTTCCAGGATACCAAAAGAACACTTTTGCATGTGGTTTACTCGTATTTGCCTTAAGAGCAAAAACAATAAATTTCTAGACATTTGGCTGTATCATAAATTTGCACATTTGCATCATAATTATCCATATTTGCAAGGGGAGCAAATATAGTGAGCTGCATAACATTTGCTGACAGTCAAAGATGATGTGCATGTGACATTTCCTATATGTTTGATCCGTTTTGTGACTAAAGTAAATTTCCAATCTCAACTGTAACATTACATTGTTACAATAAAATTTTGTACACGCTGTGAGACTCCGCCCAGAGGTCCAACCCCTTACATGCATCTTTCCTGTTAACTGCTTTATGTGCACTGTCATTTTAATATAAAGGAATCAGAAACCACTTAATTTTTTTTGACAATTTTACATTCACAAATTTCTTCTGTTAGTCTTTTTAAGGAACGAAATGACAGATAGTCTACCCTGTCATATACTTTAACTCAGGAAATCCCCATCCTTTCATACCTGAAGCATGAAAAAGGTGTCCCTTTCTGACAGCGCCCCTGGCATAAACCTTTCCCGGGCTACTAATTTAAAGCAAATACACTAATTCAAATCCACTCGTTATTAAGGTCCAGTAGTCAGATCATTGATGCACTGTATTTCCTACAGTCAGGGCCATAGCCAGTATGAGGCAAACCGAGGCACTTGCCTCTGTCATTTAAGGTTTGATCCTGGCAGTGTTTTGTTTCAACGTAGTCATCATAAAGACCCTGAATAGCTAGGTGGGGAATTCAACCATGGATATAGCCTCAGTCCTTACTTTTTTCTGGCTACGGCCCTGTCTATCGTCTTAAAAATTCCTCTATAAACTTATGGGACAATGTACATCTTAACAACTGGTATTCTCTTATGCACAGCAATTACCACAGGGGTCCTTAAACAAAAGATAACACCTATAAATGAGAACTATGTAGTGATTGGATGGCTGTAAATTCATCTTCATTAATATTACATGATGTTCACTTCCGAGCTGAATTAGGGAACCAAATTACTTCATTGTACGTTGGTGTAAAATATTGTGTTTTTCAAGGGTTGTCATACATATACTGCAGAGTTCTTTCTATATTTCCGACAATATTTATACTGATTCTAGAATATTAGGGGCATATATCATACGGGACTTATCTGTTGTAGTTTTGACTGACCACCTAGAGATGACCACATCTCGATGGTGGGCTTCCTAAAAATGACCACATTTTGAAAACCCAGCAGCCAATACTACAACAAAATATGGTGAAACTGCTCACAATTTTATTTGAACATTAACTCAGCTGACAAATTTATGAAAGGCTAATTTTTGTTACTCTATTGTTTGCAACCCTGAGTTTAAGTTTCACTGATTTTAATGTTGATTTTGAGTTTTACTGTTCATTAAGTACTACCTATTCAATCCAAAAAAGTCATAGCATTTTGGCTGGCTAAAATTTACCTGAAGCCTGGTTATTTAAACTTGGGATACAAGGAGGATCTACAGGAGCTACCGGTCAAATTGTCAAATCCTACCCGACAAAGCCCCCCCGCCCGCCCTATAAACAATGAACAGACCTTTATTGGGTTACAGGATCACAGGAGCTCTGAGTTGGCCTTAGATCATGAAAAGTCTAGAGCTATAAAGAAAAAACTAAGGTAGTGAAACAAATTAACATGCAGCATTTATCCTTCTGGACTGGGTTTGCTCAAAGATGGGTTAAGATAACACAAGGTTAGGTCCAGTGGTCAGATCATTTACTGTATTTTTTGTACATCATACTAAAAAATCAAATTTGGTCCGAAATAAAAAGTTTTGTGGATTTCAAACTCAGTGTTGTGATTATTCACTTGTACATAATTTCCTCATGGCCATTTAACCAACAAACTTAATTCAATTTAAAACCAACAATTTTAGTTTAACCGGTATTTGTTGTAGTTTTGACTGCCCACCTAGAGATGACCACATCTCGATGGCTGGCTTCCTAAAAATGACCACATTTTGAAAACCCAACAGCCAATACTACAACAAAATATGGTGAAACTGCTCACAATTTTATTTGAACATTAACTCAGCTGACAAATTTATGAAAGGCTAATTTTTCTTACTTTGTTGTTTGCAACCCTGAGTTTGAGTCTCACTGTTCATTAAGTACTACCTATTCAATCCAAAAAAAGTCACAGCATTTTTGCTGGCTAAAATTCACCTGAATCCTGGTTATTTGATCTTGGGATACAAGGAGCGGGGTTGTGGCTTCCGCAAAAAATTCTGATGAAGAGAGGGTCTTCATATACAGGAGCTACCGGTCAAATCCCCCCCAACAAAGCCCCCCCTAAAAATGAACAGACCCCTCCTGGGTTACAGGAGCTCTGAGTTGGCCTTGGAACATGAAAAGTCATAAGCTATGAAGAAAAAACTAAGGCGGTGAAACAAATTAACATGCAGTATTTATCCTTCCAGGCTGGGTTGTTTAAAGCTGGGTTAAGATAACCCAAGGTTAGTACGAAATATGAATTCAGATATGAAAGTTTTAAAAACAAATTCATTTGAATTCCTTTTGTCTACAATTTGGTGATTTGATACTTAAAAAAAAGGGAAAATTATCTGACAAAATGCTTTTGATTAAAAGGAAAAAGAAACGCAGGTTGAAATCTAACACTGGGTTAGTGCTAATGGGTCTTTGGAACAACTGGGCCCCGGTCTTTTTTTGGGTCCAATTCTAAATCACATAACCACTTCGAAGTGAGTCAATGGTACATAACCTGGGCATGTGTTACATTCCCCTTCTGTCATTTGATAATAGTAAAGCCTAGGGTCGCACAATGGGCGGGGATCTCCAATTACTAAAACTAAAAATTCAAAATGACACAGTAACTGTTGTATACAGTTACAGAGGGCCCACCCCGTACGTAACTTGCAGATCTGCCGAAGGCCTCTCTCAGGTCTGTCACAGGTCTGTTCAGTCATACAGCAGACCAATTTGACGCAAAACTGAAGTCTGCAAGTCTGCATACTGTCTGTGACAGACATCTCATGAAAATGACTTCTTCTTTGACTGTGTGTTGCCTTTTATCTTGTTTGCAGCAAGTCTGTTGCAGACCTTTCGTGACTTTTGGTGATTATGCAATAACGTGTCATTGTTGAATTTAGTTGGTATTCGAACTACAGTATATAAAAATCAAATTTTAGGGTGCGTTTCTTTAAGAAAATCCAAGATTGGATTCTTAAATCCGAAAGAATCCAAAAACGGATTTTGCGTTTCTTTACTAAACAGATCAATCCAAGATCTCTCGGATCCTGGTGCGTCAAAGAAACCGAATAATCCACTCTGGGCAAGGATTATTCCGTCCCTTTGATACACCATGATCCGAGAGATCTTGGATTGATCTGTTTAGGCGAGAAATGCAAAATCCGTTTTCGGTTTTTTTTGGGATTCAAGAATCCAATCTTGGATTTCCTAAAAGAAACACACCCTTAGTGGCGTTAGTCTGATCATGTGAAAAACAACTCCTTGTATAGGCTACTATGCCTGGTTAAATGCTAATACAGTGACTCGTTTGTAGGGAGTTGCTGATAGTGCAGCTGAAACAGACAGTGAAGAGTTCAGTTATCCTGCAAGACTTGATTATCCTGGATTGCTGAACAGGGTATCTCCCCAGGCTTCATTAGGTATGGACTAGAACAATTTCACAAGTGATGAATTAAGTTTGCTGATTTGAACTTGTACTCATTACATTGTATATCAGTTCGGAGGACTGATTGATCAGGTAATACATATGAGAAAGTGAACGTAGAATTCGTTTGGTTTTGATTTAGGGCTACATTTGAAAGAGGACGAGGAAGGTGAAGATGAAGATGGTGGAATTCAGAAAACCTTTGGTAAGCTAATAATGACATTTGTTGTTTTCAGTCGAGGTAGACTGTTCAAAGTCCTCTATTTCCTTACATGTCAATCAATCAGTCAACAACTTTATTAACATGTCTAAGGTAAAATAGGCGTGGGTGAATCCCTCAACTAATCGGGGACACCTAAAAGGTTAGATTAAGAAACTATTTACAGCATTAATTTTAAACTTTAAAATAAAATAAGTGGTCTAACTAACGTAATTATCACTAGCTATTCGTGGAAGTCTTAACATTCATAACACTTTCAAAATAATAGAATTCGGTTATTACATACGGAGCAACAGTTTGGCAGCCGTCAGCCAGTAGCGACTGTTAATGTTTATGGCTGCGCAAACTGGGTGCGTATGTCAATGCGGAGCGCAACTGGGGTAGGTGCGGGTAGATAACGCTTTGAGTTCGCACTTGTTTCGATCACTGTTTCTCGTGCTTCTTCCAGTTTGTGTTGAGAAAATAGAAAGGCTGTGAACAATCTATTTTTAAAGGTATAAAAGGTAGATGTGTAACTATATCATTTTAGCAAACGCATGTAGCACTCTACTCATTTGCATATCTGTTTTAATGTAGCGAAGATTCATTAAACATTTCTTCGTCTAGCAGTTGTAACAAAAGATTCACACTTCTCCCGGCTTACAATTTTACCCATGCCAGAAGAATCGTAACTATTAGAAACTTACCATTTGACTTGTAAAGAAACATCATTTTAATACATAGTACATTTTGTTGTGTGTATTCGCAGCTAACAAGAGACAACGTGTCAAAAGAAAAAAGTTGTCTTCCAGTTCCTCTTCCTCTGACGAAGATAAAAGTACAACGAAACTATTAGTTACACTTAATAGTTTAAAAAAATCCGTTGTTAAGCAAAATGTTGAACATCTCAACTAACAGGTGTATTACGAGAAAGAATTAATGCAAGCTCATCCCTTTTGGTCAGGTCTATGAAAGTAATGCTGTAATAAAAGTCTATTTGCAAGTATCAGTCACGACTGTTTATAAATTCAACAGTAACAAACATCAGTTTTTATGGGCTTACCTTTATGTAGAGAACCAGAGTAGAAGTTCCTCTTCCCCTGATGAAGATGACGGTACAGTCAAACAACCAGGTACGTGCAAGTTCAATAGACTTCTGTTATGAGTTGAAACACTCACCTTCACGTTGTTAAAATTTTCCAGAGAGTATTTCTACCGCTTCCTCTAAAAAAAAGACACATTACTATTTTCATTGTCGTTATCGTTATCCTTGTCGTTATTGTTGTCGTTATCATTATCATTATCATTATTAATGCGCACTTAACTCGTAAGGTGATGTCATAACAAAATTTTCTCGGCTTAATGGTTTTAAAACCAAAGCTATTTACACATGGTGCTCTGCTGATACACTTTACACGTAGAGCTGAACTAAAACATCATTTGTTACAAAACTGGCGCAGGCTTGTTCTTTGTTGGAATGTACATTTATGTAAACGAAGATTCTCTAATTGTTTTTGCAGCTTACCCAAGTCAAAGTCCTGTGTCCTGTGATGGAGAAGTTAGAAGCAATCTACCAGCAGGTACACTGTACTTGAAAAAAACTTGTGAGAAAGTAGATGCGGGAGGGTCATATCTTTTTTGGCCCCTGAAAAAGTTGGGTCATGAAAACCTAGGCAGTGAAGAAAAGGGAGGCTCACAAGTTTATGCACACATAGTCATAACAGGCATTTTTTTAATGTTACAATATGGCACAAATGGCGAAACAATATAGAAAAGACACTATAAATTCATCATGCTGCACTTGTAAAATGGTTACATTTCTTGTTCTTTTTACAGGTTGCACATGCGTTAATTTGCTTGTAAATAACTTGCTTCAGTATCTAGTCCTTGATATCTTGTATTGCTTATAAGCTTTCTGCTGTTTGCATAATTATTCAGTTTCACTAAAATTATAATAGCAATGAGCATTCATGGGCCTGATAAAATTTCCATTTGATAGATCACCATAGGGGAACTCCAGAAACAAAAAGTCAAAATAAAAATAATAGTAATTTAAATAGTTGAAGAGTAAATGTATACACTGGATTGTCTGTTTTTTTTTTTGTAGACTTGAGCAATCAGAAGTATGACAGTGATGAGGTAAATATTATGGAGGCATTTTATTGTAATCAAAGAAAATGCCTTACATATGTTACTGTGGGAGTTTTTTTACCCTTTTTTCTAAGGAATATTATTCTATTATTTATATACCATGGAAGTAAAAGAAGAAGGACAAATGAAGTGTACATACACTCTCTCTTACTCTCGCGAATCTTGTGGCTTTGTTTCTCTCTTGGTAATTCCTAGTCACAGGAGTTTTCACATATCTAAAAGAAATAGGGAAAGGGGAAAAAAGTCAGATGTTATTGTTGCCTAAGCCCAACTCTTAAGAAAATGCTGACTGAAGCAAAGAGTATCCATTGTCTTTTTCAGAATCTCAGTGGTAGTCCACACTGTTCCCTTCAGTAATTTGCTTATTTGCTTGTTCTTGTGATTTTTACTTTGGCGTAAGATAATACGATAACTCGACAGCAGGATTGGAAAATTGTGCATTTCTTTAGTTTTGGCCTGCCAAAAGGGGCCTCTTGTATAAATCGGGTGGTCCTTTCCTGGGATATTTTCTCTTTTCCAAATGACAACTGTCTGAGGATATGACATCTTGACACGTTGTCAGAAGTGTCGAAGTTCAGTTTATAATGGTATCCATAATGTAATTGACCTGATTTAGTGCTGTAGAATTTAGGGATTGAATAAACCTTGTATGGTTACTGGTAAATATTTTACGAGGAAGTTATTTAATGAATAATTAATATAAACAATGAAGTTGAAACGATAAACAAATCGAACTAATGTCAAAGGTTTGCACACTGTTCTTAATCAAAAAGCAAAAAGTATGGGGAATGTCCCCACAATCTAAACAGTCCCCACAGTGCTTGTGTGTGTTCATATTCTTGTCCCTGTAAGTATTCAATCACAATAGATGTTAAATTTACTATCTTTTTTTTAACGTGTCATTGTTGAATTTAGTTGGTATTCGAACTACAGTATATAAAAATCAAATTTTAGGGTGCGTTTCTTTAAGAAAATCCAAGATTGGATTCTTAAATCCGAAAGAATCCAAAAACGGATTTTGCGTTTCTTTACTAAACAGATCAATCCAAGATCTCTCGGATCCTGGTGCGTCAAAGAAACCGAATAATCCACTCTGGGCAAGGATTATTCCGTCCCTTTGATACACCATGATCCGAGAGATCTTGGATTGATCTGTTTAGGCGAGAAATGCAAAATCCGTTTTCGGTTTTTTTTGGGATTCAAGAATCCAATCTTGGATTTCCTAAAAGAAACACACCCTTAGTGGCGTTAGTCTGATCATGTGAAAAACAACTCCTTGTATAGGCTACTATGCCTGGTTAAATGCTAATACAGTGACTCGTTTGTAGGGAGTTGCTGATAGTGCAGCTGAAACAGACAGTGAAGAGTTCAGTTATCCTGCAAGACTTGATTATCCTGGATTGCTGAACAGGGTATCTCCCCAGACTTCATTAGGTATGGACTAGAAAAATTTCACAAGTGATGAATTAAGTTTGCTGATTTGAACTTGTACTCATTACATTGTATATCAGTTCGGAGGACTGATTGATCAGGTAATACATATGAGAAAGTGAACGTAGAATTCGTTTGGTTTTGATTTAGCGCTACATTTGAAAGAGGACGAGGAAGGTGAAGATGAAGATGGTGGAATTCAGAAAACCTTTGGTAAGCTAATAATGACATTTGTTGTTTTCAGTCGAGGTAGACTGTTCAAAGTCCTCTATTTCCTTACATGTCAATCAATCAGTCAACAACTTTATTAACATGTCTAAGGTAAAATAGGCGTGGGTGAATCCCTCAACTAATCGGGGACACCTAAAAGGTTAGATTAAGAAACTATTTACAGCATTAATTTTAAACTTTAAAATAAAATAAGTGGTCTAACTAACGTAATTATCACTAGCTATTCGTGGAAGTCTTAACATTCATAACACTTTCAAAATAATAGAATTCGGTTATTACATACGGAGCAACAGTTTGGCAGCCGTCAGCCAGTAGCGACTGTTAATGTTTATGGCTGCGCAAACTGGGTGCGTATGTCAATGCGGAGCGCAACTGGGGTAGGTGCGGGTAGATAACGCTTTGAGTTCGCACTTGTTTCGATCACTGTTTCTCGTGCTTCTTCCAGTTTGTGTTGAGAAAATAGAAAGGCTGTGAACAATCTATTTTTAAAAGTGAAAAAGGTAGATGTGTAACTATATCATTTTAGCAAACGCCTGTAGCACTCTACCCATTTGCATAGTCAAGATTCATTAAAAATTTCTTCGTCTAGCAGTTGTAACAAAAGATTCACACTTCTCCCGGCTTACAATTTTACCCATGCCAGAAGAATCGTAACTATTAGAAACTTACCATTTGACTTATAAAGAAACATCATTTTAATACATAGTACATTTTGTTGTGTGTATTCGCAGCTAACAAGAGACAACGTGTCAAAAGAAAAATGTTGTCTTCCAGTTCCTCTTCCTCTGACGAAGACAAAAGTACAACGAAACTATTAGGTACACTTAATAATTTAAAAAAATTCTGTGTTAAGTAAGATGTTGAACATCTCAACTAACAGGTGTATTACGAGAAAGAATTAATGCAAGCTTATCCCTTTTGGTCAGGTCTATGAAAGTAATGCTGTAATAAAAGTCTATTTGCAAGTATCAGTCACGACTGTTTATAATTTCAACAGTAACAAACATCAGTTTTTATGGGCTTACCTTTATGTAGAGAACCAGAGTAGAAGTTCCTCTTCCCCTGATGAAGATGACGGTACAGTCAAGCAACCAGGTACGTGCAAGTTCAATAGCCTTGTGATATGAGTTGAAACACTCACCTTCACGTTGTTAAAATTTTCCAGACAGTATTTCTACCGCTTCCTCTAAAAAAAAGACACATTACTATTTTCATTGTCGTTATCGTTATCGTTATCCTTGTCGTTATTGTTGTCGTTATCATTATCATTATCATTATTAATGCGCACTTAACTCGTAAGGTGATGTCATAACAAAATTTTCTCGGCTTAATGGTTTTAAAACCAAAGCTATTTACACATGGTACTCTGCTGATACACTTTACACGTAGAGCTGAACTATAACATCATTTGTTACAAAACTGGTGCAGGCTTGTTCTTTGTTGGAATGTACATTTATGTAAACGAAGATTTTCTAATTGTTTTTGCAGCTTACCCAAGTCAAAGTCCTGTGTCCTGTGATGGAGAAGTTAGAAGCAATCTACCAGCAGGTACACTGTACTTGAAAAAAACTTGTGAGAAAGTAGATGCGGGAGGGTCATATCTTTTTTTGGCCCCTGAAAAAGTTGGGTCATGAAAAACTAGGCAGTGAAGAAAAGGGAGGCTCACAAGTTTATGCACACATAGTCATAACAGGCATTTTTTTAATGTTACAATATGGCACAAATGGCGAAACAATATAGAAAAGACACTATAAATTCATCATGCTGCACTTGTAAAATGGTTACATTTCTTGTTCTTTTTACAGGTTGCACATGCGTTAATTTGCTTGTAAATAACTTGCTTCAGTATCTAGTCCTTGATATCTTGTATTGCTTATAGGCTTTCTGCTGTTTGCATAATTATTCAGTTTCACTAAAATTATAATAGCAATGAGCATTCATGGGCCTGATAAAATTTCCATTTGATAGATCACCATAGGGGAACTCCAGAAACAAAAAGTCAAAATAAAAATAATAGTAATTTAAATAGTTGAAGAGTAAATGTATACACTGGATTGTCTGTTTTTTTTTTTGTAGACTTGAGCAATCAGAAGTATGACAGTGATGAGGTAAATATTATGGAGGCATTTTATTGTAATCAAAGAAAATGCCTTACATATGTTACTGTGGGAGTTTTTTTACCCTTTTTTCTAAGGAATATTATTCTATTATTTATATACCATGGAAGTAAAAGAAGAAGGACAAATGAAGTGTACATACACTCTCTCTTACTCTCGCGAATCTTGTGGCTTTGTTTCTCTCTTGGTAATTCCTAGTCACAGGAGTTTTCACATATCTAAAAGAAATAGGGAAAGGGGAAAAAAGTCAGATGTTATTGTTGCCTAAGCCCAACTCTTAAGAAAATGCTGACTGAAGCAAAGAGTATCCATTGTCTTTTTCAGAATCTCAGTGGTAGTCCACACTGTTCCCTTCAGTAATTTGCTTATTTGCTTGTTCTTGTGATTTTTACTTTGGCGTAAGATAATACGATAACTCGACAGCAGGATTGGAAAATTGTGCATTTCTTTAGTTTTGGCCTGCCAAAAGGGGCCTCTTGTATAAATCGGGTGGTCCTTTCCTGGGATATTTTCTCTTTTCCAAATGACAACTGTCTGAGGATATGACATCTTGACACGTTGTCAGAAGTGTCGAAGTTCAGTTTATAATGGTATCCATAATGTAATTGACCTGATTTAGTGCTGTAGAATTTAGGGATTGAATAAACCTTGTATGGTTACTGGTAAATATTTTACGAGGAAGTTATTTAATGAATAATTAATATAAACAATGAAGTTGAAACGATAAACAAATCGAACTAATGTCAAAGGTTTGCACACTGTTCTTAATCAAAAAGCAAAAAGTATGGGGAATGTCCCCACAATCTAAACAGTCCCCACAGTGCTTGTGTGTGTTCATATTCTTGTCTCTGTAAGTATTCAATCACAATAGATGTTAAATTTACTATCTTTTAACGTGTCATTGTTGAATTTAGTTGGTATTCGAACTACAGTATATAAAAATCAAATTTTAGGGTGCGTTTCTTTAAGAAAATCCAAGATTGGATTCTTAAATCCGAAAGAATCCAAAAACGGATTTTGCGTTTCTTTACTAAACAGATCAATCCAAGATCTCTCGGATCCTGGTGCGTCAAAGAAACCGAATAATCCACTCTGGGCAAGGATTATTCCGTCCCTTTGATACACCATGATCCGAGAGATCTTGGATTGATCTGTTTAGGCGAGAAATGCAAAATCCGTTTTCGGTTTTTTTTGGGATTCAAGAATCCAATCTTGGATTTCCTAAAAGAAACACACCCTTAGTGGCGTTAGTCTGATCATGTGAAAAACAACTCCTTGTATAGGCTACTATGCCTGGTTAAATGCTAATACAGTGACTCGTTTGTAGGGAGTTGCTGATAGTGCAGCTGAAACAGACAGTGAAGAGTTCAGTTATCCTGCAAGACTTGATTATCCTGGATTGCTGAACAGGGTATCTCCCCAGACTTCATTAGGTATGGACTAGAAAAATTTCACAAGTGATGAATTAAGTTTGCTGATTTGAACTTGTACTCATTACATTGTATATCAGTTCGGAGGACTGATTGATCAGGTAATACATATGAGAAAGTGAACGTAGAATTCGTTTGGTTTTGATTTAGCGCTACATTTGAAAGAGGACGAGGAAGGTGAAGATGAAGATGGTGGAATTCAGAAAACCTTTGGTAAGCTAATAATGACATTTGTTGTTTTCAGTCGAGGTAGACTGTTCAAAGTCCTCTATTTCCTTACATGTCAATCAATCAGTCAACAACTTTATTAACATGTCTAAGGTAAAATAGGCGTGGGTGAATCCCTCAACTAATCGGGGACACCTAAAAGGTTAGATTAAGAAACTATTTACAGCATTAATTTTAAACTTTAAAATAAAATAAGTGGTCTAACTAACGTAATTATCACTAGCTATTCGTGGAAGTCTTAACATTCATAACACTTTCAAAATAATAGAATTCGGTTATTACATACGGAGCAACAGTTTGGCAGCCGTCAGCCAGTAGCGACTGTTAATGTTTATGGCTGCGCAAACTGGGTGCGTATGTCAATGCGGAGCGCAACTGGGGTAGGTGCGGGTAGATAACGCTTTGAGTTCGCACTTGTTTCGATCACTGTTTCTCGTGCTTCTTCCAGTTTGTGTTGAGAAAATAGAAAGGCTGTGAACAATCTATTTTTAAAAGTGAAAAAGGTAGATGTGTAACTATATCATTTTAGCAAACGCCTGTAGCACTCTACCCATTTGCATAGTCAAGATTCATTAAACATTTCTTCGTCTAGCAGTTGTAACAAAAGATTCACACTTCTCCCGGCTTACAATTTTACCCATGCTAGAAGAATCGTAACTATTAGAAACTTACCATTTGACTTGTAAAGAAACATCATTTTAATACATAGTACATTTTGTTGTGTGTATTCGCAGCTAACAAGAGACAACGTGTCAAAAGAAAAATGTTGTCTTCCAGTTCCTCTTCCTCTGACGAAGACAAAAGTACAACGAAACTATTAGGTACACTTAATAATTTTAAAAAATCCTGTGTTAAGTAAGATGTTGAACATCTCAACTAACAGGTGTATTACGAGAAAGAATTAATGCAAGCTTATCCCTTTTGGTCAGGTCTATGAAAGTAATGCTGTAATAAAAGTCTATTTGCAAGTATCAGTCACGACTGTTTATAAATTCAACAGTAACAAACATCAGTTTTTATGGGCTTACCTTTATGTAGAGAACCAGAGTAGAAGTTCCTCTTCCCCTAATGAAGATGACAGTACAGTCAAGCAACCAGGTACGTGCAAGTTCAATAGACTTCTGTTATGAGTTGAAACACTCACCTTCACTTTGTTAAATTTTTCATTATCGTTATCGTTATCGTTATCGTTGTTGTTAGCATTATCATTATCATTATTAATGTTATGTCTGACTATTATTACTGACTCGTCTTTTTATAGTCCTGGCCCGGGTTGCTCGGAGCATGGTTAGCGCTAACCAGCGTTAAATACCATTGAAACCTATACGTTTTGATACCTCTTAACCAACGGTTAGCGCTAACCAGTCTTTGAGCAACCGGCCCCTGGTTAATAGCGTGGTTGGAATATATAATTTTTCTGTGCAAGATGATTCTTCCATGGTGTCATGTTACCTCTTCGTGCTTTTTAAGTTGGTTCTCACTAGTGAAAAATTATTGAGAGGGCCGCTGATCAACATAATATTTCACAGAAAGGTGGAGTCATAAACGCTTAAACCCTGCGTAATTTAGGCTGGCAAAATACCTCTCTCCTTTCTTTATACTGTTTAGATATTTAGGTCATTTTATTTTACTTTAAAAGGTGAGCGGTTTCTGCGAAAAGAGGTTCCGCTGGACGCTGAAGAGAATAGCTGCGTAGCATTACCTGAAAAAGACGTTTCTTCGTGCGATGAGGATAACTCGACGAGAAGCAACAGCACTACGATCATGACAGCACCGCCATTTGCAGGGGGTAAGGAAGTAGTCCATGGAATTTTAATTTACTGAGTACACAAACGAAACCAACATAGGATTCTGTGGGAACTTAACTGCTTATCGGAATTGGCACCGGTTTCTTTATGGACACCTTTATCCGTTCAACCCTTCCTCCGGGAACCACTGGACAACACCCGCAAGTGTTGCCACAGGCTGCTGCTCCATTTTGCTTCCAAAGTTGTGACTTTCATATCATGGTACATAAGAAAAATGAAAAAAGTCATTCATCTATGCCATTTGACAAATTGACGTCATCAGTTTTTTATGCGTCTAACCTCTTATTGATGATTAATTGCGTCATAACATTGTCATAGTGGCTGTGGAACCAGGAGCCGCAGGTGAGTGGTTCCGCACTAAACTTGGACAATGTTATGACGTAATTTATCTTCAATAAGATTACAGACGCATAAAAAACCGACGTCAATTTGTTTTTTACAATAACAAGACCGCAAAGTGGTCAAATGCCGGGAATAAATGAGGGGAAAAGACGTCGTAAAATTGCCGGAGCTAAGTGAATTTAATTCAGAATGACGCGAACATTATCAATAGCGTTTTCTCGCTTTTTGATTGGCTTCTTAAGAAAGTCAATGAAATCCCATTGGTTAACGTTGAACTGTTGAAAGCTTGCATAAAATAAAATTTTATCCGTCTGTACTCTTATTGATGATAAACATGAGCTAATCAGCGCCCAATAAATTTGACAGTTATTGTAAAAATAAGGATTATATACTCGAAACACAATACTACAGTGAAAACTGTATTAGGCGGCCACCTTCGAGAGTTCGTATTTTAGCAGAGCATCATGCATATAAAAAACTGGTAACCTATGGATGCCAAAAGCTTTGCCTATGACGTTACCGTACTTACTCACATAACTCATATCATTATCATTTCAGTGTCTTTACGATGTGCGCAGACAAGTAAGGACAAAAAAAGGGTTTATGACAAGAGGCAGGCTTGTTACTATTGTGGCACGTTGCAATTCAAAATCGCAAGGCATTATGAGCTGAAGCACCAGTCTGAAAGAGAAGTGGCCATTGCCCTCTCCTTCAACAAAGGGTCTACAGAAAGAAAGAGACATCTTGAGAAACTGCGGTTGTTAGGTAACTACCACCACAATTTGACCGTATTAGAAACTGGCAAAGGAGAGCTCATAGTCATGAGACGCCCATCCTCTTCTAGTGAGAAGTCCAGTCCTGAAGATTTTCTTCCCTGTCCGTCTTGCTGCGGCTTCTTAAAACGCCACGATTTGTGGAAGCATGCTAAATTCTGTAAGTTTAGGCCAGAGAGTATGAAAGATGCCCCGAAATATCAGAACGTACAACAAAACGCAAAATTGATGCTGTTTCCAGCTATTTGCAATGACAGTAGCGGTATACTGAGTAAATTACTTGCAACTATGAAAAGTGACGAAATTTCAGCAATTGCCAGAAATGACGAGCTCATTAGAGATGTTGGAGTGATGCTTCTCGAGAAGCATGGAGAAAAGCAAAACAACCTGGTTTCACAAAAAATGAGGGAACTCGCTCGGCTCGTGATGCAGCTTCGTGAAACCGAGTTCCGACCTGATGCTGGGCTCTGTGACTTCATTAAGCCTGACAAGTTTGATGTCGTTATTAGTGCAGTAAAGAACATTTCCAAGTTTCATTTTCAAGAAGGTGTTCAGAATGTCGCTACTCCCTCTCTGTCTTTAAAGCTGGGTCATTCCCTTAAAAAATGTGTTCACATTCTTCGGGGCCATGCGTTGCGCAGGAAAGATAAGGACTTGCAAGAGGATGCAGAAAATTTTGAAAAACTTTTGGAATCTGAGTGGAGTCATCGTGTATCTCACCATTCTCTCAACTCTCTCAGTACAAGCAAATTCAACAAAGTGCAGCTGTTGCCTCTCGCAGATGATCTCGATAAACTACGGAAGTTTGTCCTCGTCAAGATGTCCTCTGGTGTACAACTTCTGGAAGAACAGCCTCAGCTACAAGCATGGAGTGATTTAGCCCAAGCAACTCTTGCAAGGCTGGTCATATTTAACAAACGAAGAGCGGGAGAAGCCTCGAAGATGCTTCTAAACAGTTACCTGAGCAGACCAGACTGGACAAAAGTGAACAACCCTGAAATAATGTCGGCACTTAGCAGCTTTGAAAGAGAATTATCCAGGAGGCAAGTGAAGATTCTTAACCATTATTTAGAGTGAAGTTGAATGTCCTAGGCTTTTGCAACTGCATTGGTGAAAGATATATTTTAAGTATGGGTAACCAAATGGCGACGAGTGCGACAAGGAAATAAACGCGCGTCTTTGTCAAAATTCCAATAATTTTCCAAGCCTTTAGTCGAGGTAAAGAACGTTTCGATATCTTCAAGATGTCACTGTCAAGTTTTAAAATAGTTATAGGTCAGTTAAACAATTATTTAAATACGTGTGTAAAAGTACGTTAACATGCGGAAATACGCTAGACTGCCTGATATAATGCTGCTGTATATCGGGAAACCTTATTTCTCTCTTGCTTCTCTGTCAGACTCGATCAGGACGAAATTGTTTATCGAAGTATGCCACTTTATTATTTTCGCTTCGCTTTTTGTTTAGATGGTTGGTTTCACGAACCCCTATTTGCTCCTTCATTGAAAAGAAACTCCTCCTTTTCGAAATGGTAGACTTTCCACAGATAAAGAGAGTTATTTTTATTGTTGTATTTAGACTAGACATGGTGGAGATTCGTGGCAAGCGGGGAAGAAAGGTTCCAGTCATCTTGACCCCCGAGATGATCAACGCTATTGATGTTCTAATCGAGACGAGGAAAGCAGTAGGCATCGCAGATGAGAATCCGTACGTGTTTGCAAGACCAAATAGACAGTCTTTAGAGCCCATGCGTGCCTGGGATTGTCTCAAGAAATTAAGCACACAGTGTGAACCACCTTTGTCAAACCCTACAAATATCACCAGTACAAGGATGAGGAAGTACATAGCAACTATTTCGCAAGTACTTTCTCTGAAAGAAACAGAAGTGGATTGGCTCATGAGACATCTTGGCCATGACATTCGAGTGCATAGGGACTTTTACAGACTCCATGAGTCTACAATTGAAATCGCTAAAGTTAGCAAACTGCTTCTAACGGTAGATCAAGGGAAAACAGGCAAATTTGCCGGAAAAACCTTGACAGAAATCGATCTGAATGGTAAGTACAAGTGATCTTTTCATGCTAATTTAAGGCAACTCAAAACAGTAATATACCGGAAGACGCCTGGGCTCTAACGTGCATTTCAGCGCGAGGCATCACGCGATCACCCGAGAGGCGTCCTTCATTCATTCATTCATTCAGGTCGCGAGATAGCGCGCGAGATTTAAAGTTAAAAACATGGCGGCGCGAGGCCTACTTTGTAAAAATTTGTTTCCGCCAGGTTTGGTAAGCTGTTTACGATATCAGTTATTTTTGCCTCAAAAGGCAATTTCCAAGGAAAAACATTCTTTTAAACCACTGTGCTGGAACGTAAACGAAAATTGTGATGTTGATGTTGCGATCAATCACGCCGGGTATCAGTCTAAAAAACTGTAAGGAAAAACTACTCTTCAAGTTGTCTTCGTTCTTTTTACTTTGCGAGTCTCACCTTCAGGTATTTATGGTGCTCGTCTTCTACCACTTTAGTTATGTTGCTAATGACAACAGCGAAAAAAAAAAAAGAAAGAAACAGTATTCGCGTGGAATTGCGAGCTTTACTGATCAGCAGACCACCTTCACGCATGCGCAAGGGGCGATCTTTCGAAGTCGAGATTATAATTTGTACGTAGAGTATCTCAAAAACTGATCCCGTGACCCTACTTTTTTAGCGGAAAAATATTCAACAGCAAAAGCGGAATGCATGAGCGAAATTTCTGACTCGGAAACGTTTTGTTAGAAATCGCAGAACCAAGACTTTCCGACACTGATGATGAACTTAATGATACTGATGGTGAGGAAGATGACAAGACTGACGCTTTCGATGAAGGAACGTCTTCAGGTGCGTAAATTGCTTCCTGAATTCACAGAATATTGGCAGTGCCGACTTAATTAAGTTGGCTGACAACAGTTTCCAGCTCTTTCTATCACTTATACTTTGATGGATCAATACAACCACTCTTAGTCATATCATCCTCCAATAATGGCATCACACAAATACCCAGCCATTGGTTAACAACTTGTGATCATCCTTTTTATATAACAGGCTACCATAGCAACAATAAAACCCGTTAGAAACGCGCTAAATGTTACCATTAGGGGAAACCTCCATTTAAATTATCGAATAATTATAAGTAAGATAAGAGGAAACATTATTGTAAACTTAAAATTCTGCGAGGGAGTGCAAGGCCACCTTAAATCAAGGTGTCTCTGTTAATTGATTGGTTTATTAACATTATAACAGGACGCTCTACCAAGAAGCAAGTAGCGAAAAGTATGTCCCAGAAAGATTTCACTAAAGAAGTGGCTAGCAAATCATCACGAAAGTCAAACAGTAAGATACGAAATCATTTGTTGATATTCTTAAAAACTGGAAAGCATTTGAGGCGTTCTCTTTCATGGGATCATTGTTGCCAGCAGTGGCAACCAATTTCTTTAGTACGTATTTTGTTTGAGGTAAATACAAGTCCTAGAAAATCATAGATTTTGTGAAGGCAAATGAGGAAATTGACTTTCTGATCATGTTTTAAAACAAGTTGAAGTGTGCTATTAGTTTTCATGTATTGCTGAGTTCAAACACGGAGCACAGCGTCAAACGGACTACCTTGTAGTACAGAGATTTAATCGGGTAATAAGAATCAGTCTTGTAGTCTTGGATTTTGGTCAATAAAACGTTTTTTTTTTTTGTTATAGCTGTATGGATGTCTATATTCTTCGACATTAATTTTGACTCATTTTGTAATAGAAGCCAAAGGAAGAAGAGCGAAGAAGATTGTAACTTCAGGTAAAGTGGATGGGAATTATTTTATTTATACTATTGAGCTGAGGTTTGCGAAAAGACCAGATCAAAGGTTACATTTTAGTTGCCCATAATAAAAGATGTCGATAAGAAAAAAAAGTTAGCCTGAGAAAAAAAAATCGACCACTACTCTCGTAGCCTTCTTCTATTCCTACTGACGAGTTCATTTGAAAAAAAGACGAAAACTTGTTATGTTTTGCTTTTTGACGATTACGTATTTTAATTGCATCTTTATTGTCAGATAATTAGAATAAGTTATCGTCAGAAAAGCAAAACGTAAGAAGTTTTTGTTTTTGTCAAAATGAACTCGTCAGTAGAAAAAGAAAAAAAGGTACGAGGGTAGTGGTTCTCAAACTTAATTAATATTTTCTCAAAGCAAACTTGAAAGAACCGATACGCAGGTGAACTCGATGGGCTATTTTTCTATCCGCCCCAACCCGCTCACGTTTTGCATTGACAACCGTCCAGTTTGCGCGGTCATTGAATAAACATATGGGAATACAGAGATTGGTGAATTGTCTTATTTTCCTGGTTCTTGACAAAGTTTCGGCAACGAAGCTCATGTTAAGCAGTGCGACTAAAGGTTGTCACTAAGCTGGCGAGTGGAGGAACGATAGTCAGCATTAGTTCTCCCATAAAATTAAAATGTGTTCGATATATTCAGCCTCTGGTGTGCAAAAAAAAAAAAATTCTCCATAGACTCCTTATTCCTTTTATTGACTTGTTTTAGGTATCAAAATACGACATTCTTTGCAATCTGTCGAGACAAGGGGCAAGTTTCCAAGCTGCTGGTGGTTAGCGACTCTAGTGTTCGATGCGTAGTCATATTGTTTCTTATTGCTTTCTTTTAGATATTGCGTATCTGGAATTTTCAGACACGGATGGGGAGCTTGATGATTGTGATGAGGACAACCGTGTTGTCGAAGGTGATGAGAAAAATATCCTCGTGATGGAACAAAACTATGTAAAATTTAACTACATGGTGTCGCAATTCCTTTTCTTGCCCCTTTTCTAGAAAGAAAATCCGTTTTTTTTTATGGGTTTCAGAATCCCAGTGAATATGAGATAATAAGAGTGGATTTCCTCCCGTAAACTCTGCAAGAGAAAATGCTTCCCTAGAAAATCAGGTGTATAAATTCAACTCTGTGTATACTTCATGGATTGAAAACTTAATGCACTATCACTCTTGAGTATGTATTAAAGATTGGGAGGTTGTAGAAGTCTCCCTTCCCCCACCTCTGTGTATGTGTTTGGGAAGGCCCCGCCCGAAGTTGGTCTGAACGACACTCATTGTAGGTTAAGCAGGGACGGACGTTCGTAATCATAAAGTGGGGATAAGAGTGAGTTGGTTCACTATTCCCCCCGGAGTACACTTCTATCTTTGTGAAGTGCTTTTCAAAATCTCGATTTTTTTTATTTTTATATTTCCTATCAACATAGAACACAAGACGATAAGGGGTGGTCGCTCTCAGAAACATAAAGATCAAAATAAGGAGAATTCAAACTGTGCTATTTCAAAGACAAAGAGTAAGTTGGTCAAATTTCCTTTCGTTATAAAAACGGCGCGTAGGATATTTTGTCATGTGGAAATGAGTCGATTTTAGTAAAAAAAATGTAGTCGCCTGTTGTAAAGTAAGTCAAAAGCGCTGTGAATATCTACCTCTGTATTGTATTTGTCCCCCTTCCCTGTGTCTAGATTCTCTGACGTATTGTGTATTTACTTATAGTTGTCAAAGAACCTACAAAGACGGCAAAAATTTGTGGGAAAGATCCAGCTAAGAAGAATGCCAAAAAAGCTGTGCTCAAGTCAGGGAGTAAGTTTGGAATATTTTTTCACTATATCTCAAATATATGCAGAAGTCTGACCGAACAAGGTAGCATTTTTCTCTGATCTGACAAGCTAAAGCAGTTTTTAACCTATCACGCCAGAGACTCTCTGGCGTTCACAGTATTGTCAATACATCAAAAGTGATGCGTGTGTGTTACCTTGGTTGATTCGACTTTCGCGTTGATTTATAATTTGCGAGCTGTAAATCTATTACGCTCTCAATAAATCCGGTTGCGAACTTTTTCGGAAGGAGTTTTTCATGTGGCGTTGTTTTAGTAACGGTTTTGAGAGACGCTCTTCCCGTATACTGTAGGAATTTTAGGCATTACATATCCTTGGGAACCTTTATTGTCTTCCAGCATAGAAACGGTGCTTTTATCACTAAGGTAAGCGTTTTCGATTTGCAGAGTCGACTGCCCATACTCCGTGGACAGAAGAGGAAAAAGAAGCTGTTTTCAAGTATCTCGCTCCCTGGATTAGACGAGGACGTGTTCCTGGCAAACGTGACTGTGAGAATTGTATTGCCAAAGCAAATGGCGCCTTAGATCGTAGGGAATGGACAGCCGTAAAATATTATATTAAGAACCAGAATGACAAAAGAAAGAGGGTTCTCACAACTATAAATAACAGTTTGTAGTTTGGTATTGTCATCCTGGCACGGTTCTAGTTACTTCAAATGAGATTAGCACAGTGAAAGAAATAATAATGTTGTAAAATGATCGTAAGATTATTAAGCTTTTTCTTTAGTGTTAGACTACTTACGCTGACAATTGGATTGCATATAGTTGGTGCTCATAAGCTTTTGAGAACAATAGGTGTCTCCTTGTGTGGGAAATCTGTAATGATACCAAATTGGAGTATCGAAGAAACTAAGTATCATTTTTATATTGTTCTACATCATTAGAGGCATCATGTATTGAGCAGTGAATCAGCAATGACGATTTTTTTGAAATAAGTATTTGTTATTTGCCGGCGCTGGTTCATCCGCATTGGGAAGAACTGTGCCCGAAGTTTTGACTGAGTACGGCCGTACTCAAAACCAAGGGTACAGTTTTTCCTAATTCGGACGAACCAAGGCTGGCAAATGACTTCTTTATTTAGTTACCTATTTTTCTCGCTACGATGCTGCTTTAAAGCATATTTCGTGTTGCCTTTCAGTTTAAATCTTGCGTACGCTTGAGTTTCGAGCACAGAAAGCGATACTGCTGTATGCAGAAATTGTAGGAGTTGAGGTCCGGCAATGCAGACAAAATTTTTCTTCAACTTGTCTCGCAATATTGTTGCATTGCAAGTTGAAACACTCTTTTCGTTTGATAGACTCAAGTTCTATTTTCTGCAACAAATTTTAGTTTTGCTGCTCGTATTACCACTGAAGCTACAGCTTGTCTCGCAGTAAATTTGAATTCGACGCTTGTGATTGGCTGTCGCAAAGCGCGGCAACGCGGAAAAAAAAAAAACATGGCGGACGGTGAAGAACAATCTGAATTCGAAGTAGGCCAGTAACTCACTGAAAGTAATAAATTTGCCCTGTGCAAAGACCTCAAGGGCTATCCTAGTCTTTGGGGCGCCTCGTTTGTCCGTTCGAAACAAGCGGCAAAACAGACAAAAGGCTTGGAATACAACTTTTCGCCTAGCTATCTATTACAACAACAAAACTTTATTTTGTTCTGAAACAACACTGAGCTTCATACTGAGAGAACTTCGCTGGCACGGAAAATTAAGAACATAATGGCCGGAAGGCGCCATCTTTATTTGCACACGATTGACCAATGAAAACGTATTCTCTATTTTCCAATTGCCCATAATTCACTCTTTTGCCCCCCAGATTTTGAATAAACTAATGTGAAATTCTCTTGGGAATACGCAGACCTCCCAAGAGAATTTCACATCAGTAGTTAATGCAAAATTTGCGGGCAAACAGAGTGAATTATGGACAATTGTTTAATAGAGAATAGAATTCGCACACTTGCAACACTGTATTTTGCGGCAAGACAAGTTGGTCACAAACATGGTCATACGCGCAACAGAGGATTGCAACTTGCAATGCAACAATGTTGCGAGACAAGTTGAAGAAAAATGTTGCCCGTATTACCGGACCTTTATTTACATGTGACGCTGGGAAGGGAAACATTACGTTTAACAAGGTTGGTTTTTGGCCCAAAATGTCCTTTATGTAACAAAAATCGATGTTATTGAAAATTGAAAACGTACGGCTTAAAAAAAATTGACCGGGGTCCGGGTGGACAAAGCCGGACCGCTGGAGCGCGCGAGATTAGGCAATCAGATTGAAGGATTTAAGAAACCGGACCACCGAGAGGCTGGAAGAAAAAACAAGGTGTAGTATCGCAACACAGAATGCGATACAAAGAAGCGGCCGACTTAGCGACAGCACTCTCGGAAGACTTAGTAATGTATTTCTACCGTTAAATTTTGTACAAGCATTAGGCCTAAACGAACTAGTAAACGTGGTTTAGAAAAATACGGAATAGCAGTTGCAATTGGTCGTCTCAGAATTTGCGGACGTGCTTAGTTTCCTATCGTATGTCCAGAAATGTTCATCTCTGCTCATTAATTTTCATTCTCTAATCAACCACGCGTTCATCAGTGCGATACGTGTATTGGTTGTCCGTCCGCGAACGCACTTCGTTCCACAGGTTCGGACTACGGATAATTCTGCTTTTTCGTTGAATGCATGAGTCATGCTGAAACGTGGATTTCAAAAGTTGTATCGTGTTTATTAAAATGCTTGTTATTAATTGGTGAATCGAATTTACGTTTTAAAGCTGCTACCAACAAAATCGCACAGAATAGCAGTAGACTGCAAAACAACCGTATTTTTGCGTTGGTCATGAATGCGAACGTTTGGCTTTCATCTTTCCGCTATTACCGGTATATACTGTACTCACCGTGACAATCGTGTTGTCATTTCTTTTTTTGTGTGTGTGTGACATGTAAAAGATAGACCAGATTAGAGTTTGTACAAAGTGATTTGGATTTGTAAACTTGGATTCATGAAAAGTGGATCTGTCAATCGGAGTCGTAGTCAGAAGCGCAGAGGCGTTGTGATCTAGTGAATTCTGCTCATGACTCTGTCACTATGATCTAACAGGAATCGAACGAACTGAACCAATCACAATGCATCGAAACGAGCTTTGTAGAGCTCTATTCTACCACTGAATTACACTTTACGCCGAGATAACGACACCTACTTTTGATTTTCACTGAGTCATAAGTGCTATTACGACGTCGCTTGATGAAACCAAGCCCAGAAAGGTGTTTTCCAAATCGATTCTAGTCGCAATGTTACAACATGCCATGTTGTACAGTGATCGGAATGTTTAGGTTACTGTTTTTATCGCTCAGATTTGCCAGTAGATTTTAATCAAATTTCATAACGTAGATAAACAAGAGGCATCAAGTGTTGTATCTAACTTTTGAAAGAGGTTTAACTTGTAGAATGTCGCAAGTTTTCTGGAGAAATGCCTCTCCACATAGAGGGAAATGGTTAAGAACCCATTAAACATCGAAGAAGCAAACACTGAAACAGGCTAAGATTTATGTTGGAAGGTCCTTGACCCTGCACATCTTTTCAGTTTTATGCTCAATGACTGCACGAATTACATAATCGAGATGCTTCTAAGTTGGTTAGTTGTATGAGCACACATAACCACCTTTTGTATTTTGCCAGGTTTTGTACAGGGTCCATCCCCAAAATAACCAACAAGAACATACAAGAAAGAACTTCAGTTTGCCAGGTTTCATAACCATGCCCCTCTATTAACTATGCTTTCCTTAAGGATTCTTCAGTGTTTTGGTGTGTGATACTTTGTCTCGTTAATTTCACGCCTCAGGGAACAATGAGGGTCTCGGAGAAATGCGGGGCCAGTCATTAAAGAGCCCTAGTCAGCCATACTTCTTTTTGTTTATATGGGAGAGTTTGGCTACTACATTTTACTCCGATGTGCAAACGAAGGAACTCACTGTGAAACTACTAAAGATAATTAAACATACTTTCTGGAACACCATTTACGGTAAAGCCATAATATTTTGCGTCTCCATGCAATATCAATACCTTCGATGGCATGGACAATGGAAGAGGCTGACTAGGGTCCTTTAGTGCTTAATTATCTATGTGTGGAAAAACAAGAGAGAGCGTCAATTTTCAAGGGGGAGCTTTCACTGGCGCTAATGTAACCATTCAAAATGATAAAGATTGTATTAGTGTTTAATTGAAAGCTTAGTTTCATTTTGTATTTTGCATCACTTTCATGACGTATTTGTCGGAAATTTTCTTTGGAGGAAATTATAGTTGTGCTTTGTTAAGGTATGTTTGTTTGTTTGTTTGTTTGTCTGTTTTTATCCCCCTGTTGAATAATGTCTAATCTTCAAGGAAAAATAGTATGTTTTGTTTTCCCTCAAGTTTTGATGTTTCCCCGACTTTGTCTCTAGAAACAGCGAGACTTGGGAAAACCAAACTTATCATTTCTCTTTGGGCCAGACGTGGAGTGGATACTTTCATCAACCGATTCCTTTGATTTCAAAGAAACATCCGCTGGACGGAAAGGCTTAAGAAAAGAGCAACCAAGCCAACTGTTTGTGTCTACAATAAGCTGGGAAAACCTCGCTAAACTCGTATTGAGTAAAATCCCGGCTAGGGTGGGAAAAACCTCATATAGTGAAAGTGGGCAGGTTTGGTCCGTCATAATTACATCACCTTAGGTACTCGGCGAAAACTTTCTCTGAGGGCAGAACGTGCAGATATTGATATTGTTTACTGCACAGGTTAACAAAGCTCAGTTTCCCTTTTCACTACCACTGAGAAAATAGAAATGATAAATTGGACCTTGCTATAATGTGAAAAATAAGAGCTCTTGTATTTTTCATTCTTAATCCTCTATTTTAATGCAGTTTGAATCCGTTTGGTGCATGTCAGATTAAGGGAAGTGAGAGCTAAATCCCTAAGAGAAGTAAAAATCTACGAAACTCTTATCAAATAGGTCTCTAATTGAGAAAATGATTGTCCAACAAGCACGAGTTGGGTGTATTGACGTGTCCCTATACGCACTGTCCAACTAGTTCCCACAAGTAAGGTGTTTTGCCATGTGTACCCATAAGTACTGTCTCAAGATGCAATCCCCACAAGTCGGGTGTGTAGCTCTGTGTGCCCATAAGTACTGTCCAGACCACAGTCCCCACAAGTAGGCAAAGTTCGCAATGTAAAGTGTCCCCACAACAGTGTCCCCACAAAAAATATTGGCCTTTTTCTAATTTCGACCAGATGTTTTAAGAGGCCAAGAAGTCAGCTAATAAATGCCCCAGTATCATTTGGATAACTGCTGTGGAAAAGGGTGTCCTCGCAACTAGGGTCTGGAAATATGGTCCTCACAAGAATGCAGGGGTGCGTATGTGTGTGTGTGTGTGTGTGTAGTGTGTGTATGTGTGTGTGTGTGTGTGTGTGTGGTTTTCTTTTTCACTGCTAGCAAAAAATCTGGGAATATATTGCGTATCATGTTAATTTTAAGACAGCTTTATCAAAAATGTTGTTGTAGTTATGATTAATTGGCAACATAACTTCGTCAGTCGTCCAATCCGGTCTGTACTTTCACTCGCGATTAAACAAATCGGGCTACCGTTGTCTGATTTGTTGGGTGTCCGTTGGTGTTGCGATTTGTTTAATCATTCGTATGATTAAAGGCCGAATTGGACTCCACTGAGTCCTAACAAAGAAAAAAAAAACAACAACAACAACAAAAAAACACGTACAATAACAGGGGAGCTCTTTTACTTTAATCAACAATATGAAAACAAAGAAGCAATTTGATTGCAAATCGAATTTATATATAAAAAAAATGCCTTAACGTTACTAATTGTTTTAAGCACTAATTTTACTGTAACTGGTTGCACTGTTGCTAATATTGTAAGCTGAAATGCAAAGAATAGCCATAATGTTGTGTTAACAAATAACTGGGCTCATTTCCTGACGCCTTTAGTGAGTGCACCGTGAACTATGATGACCAAGAGAAGTAGCACACGAACCATTCATAAGAGTTGTTGACTGCCACTAAAAACTATTGTTAGCTAACTTAAACAATCCATGGTAAATGTTCGCATTCTTACTCGGAGGCGAAAGTTCTTATCGGATTGTATGAAACAAGCCTCACCGTTTTACTTTCTTAGAAAACTCTACAGAAAAATGAAAGCTTTGACCTACTCTTCAAAACCCCGTCCACACTAATGCCTTTTCGTTTGTAAAGGCATAAATTTTGATGCGTTTAGGCCTTCCGTCCACACTGATACGCTGAGCATTTTCATCGAAAGTGGATTAAAACGCATGGATGTCGTATAAGTGTGGACAGTTAAAAACGGTCGAAAACGCATCAAAACGAAAACGATGCCCGAAAATATAGCAGGCGCGTGTGTTGGTAGCATGCGCATAGAGTTCAACTTACGTCACAACTTGCAGTTCTATCGCTTTCGAACGTTTTAAGTAATCAACGGAATGTTCAGTCTTTGGTTGGGACTCTCGTTCCTCATTACTAGTGTCGGCTGATGACTGTCCTGCAACATCTTGTTTCTCGTCCTCTGGTTGTACTTTTAAGATGCTTACAGGTGACTTGTTTGACGCTATGTCGGGTTCAAGCTTTTCTGGGCCATCAGCGTCATTTGGCGGCGATTTGGACCCATTGTCTTGATTTCTATTGGCGGTAACATCGGATTCTTGGAATGCTTCGTTAACGTGGAATACTTTTTGGCTCTTGACTGGATTATAACTGAGTTCTGATTTACTTGCCTTCGTATAATCAGTCTTTTCCGCAAATGCCACGCTATACGGTTCCCCAGACAATGATGGATAAATGCGGGATGCTGGTTTATCGTGGATCGGGTTAACAGCTGGATGTTTCTCATGCTGAATCTTGTCTGGAGAAGACGAACTGTCATCCTCACTTACATCCTCCACTTCCACGGCTTGCTCAACAGCATGAATGTGATCGACGTGGCCTCTAGGAAAAGTACTTACAGTCCATTTGTGTGCGGCATCGCGGTGCTTTAATTCTTCTTGGCTTGCCACACGTCTGTTATGACTGAACCTGGATAAATACAATTTGATAATCAAAGCATTGTTACATATTTTATTTTCAGACCACATTCTCCACTAAAAGCAAACGACAAACATAAACAGCATTCGAGCGCGTCAGTGAAAAAAACGAAAAACAATCGCGAAACTAGAATTACCTGTCAGTCTTTTTGCATCCGATCAGAATGGCAGCAATAATGATTAAGAGCAGTCCACCACCCACCGACGCCCCAATAATAACGTTGGTTGGTTTTGACTTTCCGTCGTTTCCTTTGTCGCTTTCCTCGTCTTTCTGTTGCTCTGTGCCGGATGGGAAAGGATCGACACTTGAGATTTCACCTCCAATGGATGTTCCAATGCTATCTTTATGGCCCATCACGATGTTATGTAATACCGTCTCAGGGACAATACTGCTTTCCGAAATTCCTTGTGGAAGACTCAAGTAAAATGCCAGTAAGACTACTTCAGGAGGATTGTCTGACTGTTTGGGATAACCAGGAAGAATGTGAACCATGTCAGCCGTAAATGTGACGTTTACAGACGAGCGCCTTCGTCTAAAAAAATATAGATAACAAACATGCAAATAATGAGAAAATAAAAACAAAATAATATAAAGGTAAGATCATGGAAAAGTAAAGATCAACAAACTGACTCAAATAATTATAATGATAATGACGACGACGATGATGATGATGAAAACGAAGATGGTGATGATGATGATGACCGATAAAGGGATAAAGTTTTTTAGCGGATCTCTCGCGCGCGGCGGAGCATCATTGGTAAGAAAATGTGGTAAACTACCCATCGGAGAAAATTTGGTAAACACGTGACCGTACACCGACCACCCGACCGTCCGTCTGCCCCACAGGTATGCACCTGCACCTGCACCTGCACCTATCCGTAGTCAATAACCGTTGGGACGCCAAAGACGTTCCAACCCTCTCCCTCCATTTTTTTTGTTCTCAGCTCTCTCTTACGGCGTGGCAAAACTTCAGCCCTGTCCATTCAGCGATGTTGTTTTCCCAACGCTTCTTTTGTCGGCCCCTTCTTCTCCCTCCTTGCAGTGTTCCTTGTAAAATCGTCTTGATACATGCCCAAACCACTTTAACTTGCGTTTCTTTACCGTGGTTAAGATATCATCACAGGGCGCAATGGCTTGCCTGATTCTGTCTCTGACTGCATCGTTAGTGATGTGATCTCTGTATGAGAAGCCAAGCAGTTTCCGAAAGCATCTCATCTCAGTGGCTTGCAATTTCTTCAGGATTTCCGCTGTCACTCTCCAAGTTTCGCAGGCGTACAATGGTACAGAGATAACTAGGGGGCGCATTAGTCTGATCTTCGAGCTTAGAGAGATATGTTTATCACTCCAGATGGTCTTCAGCCTCGCTAGTGCTGCTGTTGTCTGGGCGATTCTGGACAGTACTTTAGGCTTGGAACCCTGATCTGTGACGACTGCGCTCAGATACTTGAAGCTATCAACCTCGTCCAGTTTTTCACCGTGGATTCTAATGTCAATGCTGATACCATTCGCGTTATTGGTCATCAGTTTGGTCTTCTCTGCACTGATTTCCAGGCCAAAGGCTGCAGAGGTCTTATCTAGGCGATCCACAAGAGAGGCTAGTTCCTCCTCTTTTCCTGCCAGGCCGTCAATGCCGTCAGCAAAAAGTAAGTTGGTAATTGTTCTGCCTCCGATGCTAACTGTTCCTTGGTGATCTTCTAGTGCGTCAGTCATAATTCTCTCCCAGAAAGATGTTGAAAAGAGTTGGTGAGAGTAGACACCCTTGCCTGACTCCGACTGTGGTTCTGAACCAGTCTCCTATCTCACCATTAAGGTAGACTGCACTAGTGGCCTTGTTGTAGAGGTTTTCAATGACTTGTATCAGGTTGGCGTTGATGTGATAAAGCCTCATAGTAGACCAAAGGGCTTTATGCTATACTCTGTCAAACGCCTTTTTAAAATCACCAAAAGACGTGGTAGAGGTCACCACAGGCACAGCAATGTAAAATAACTCAATCAACAGGTATGGCAAACCAAATGCAACTCGAGGTTATTTTGACGGGAACCATCCGCGTCTTGTGAAGCAGAGACAACTAAAGAGCCAGTGAAGACGAAAACGGAAAGCGGAAATTGTCTTTTATCCGTGTTTTCTAAAGTATTAAGCTTAGATTAATTGTCATGTCCACAAATTTGGAATATAGAGCAAGAGAAAGACAGAGAAAAAGATAAATTAGGCGGCAGGCTAGAGAAGCTCAACGAGAAAAAAAGGGCGACGGAGATATAGAGCGAAAGATAGAAAGCAAAGGAGACATTTTTTGTTGGAAGAACAACATGAAAGTTTTCTAGCGGCGGTGACAAAATGAGAAATGCTAGCGGCCACCGATGCAAGGTGAAAATAGGCGGTAGTGAAAAAAAAAAAAAAAAAAAAAAAAAAAACGTTTTGAAGATAAAGGTTTTTCAGCCCGTGAACGAGAACACGTAGGAGATCTCCTCCATAAAACGTGTAACTAAGAAGTTTTCTAGAGGTTTCACGTTGTAGTCGTGCAAAACAACGGCAAAGACAGGTATAAAAAAAAGTGTGCTGCACGTGCAAAGTTGCTTTTTTGCTAATTAGACTGATTGCTGTTTTTCACCGTTCTCCGGCGTTGCCTTCGCCGCAAAGCATTCCACTATTTTGTATTTTGTTTGAACAAACTATAAATATTATTGAGAGCTTCGCTTTTAGACCTGGCTAAATCTACATATATTATTGCAAAAATTTTGTTCTTATTGCTTACTTCTATGAACGCTGTTTATTGCCATCAATGATCAAAATGTTAAATTACAGCTAGTATGCTTAACCCTATTTTGACTGGGCTTTTTTGGTCAATCTGTGACTGGGGGGGGGCTCCTCGGACCCCCCCTCTGTATCTCTGGAACCAATAATGCTAGGGTCATGAAATTTACATACAATGATCATCTCCGTACAAAGACGCCCCACACCCAGTTTTGACTTGCCACGCCCAATGATGATGTCACAGTGACGTTATATTCCGATTTTTCAATGTTTCTTATAATTTTTCCACTTAGATACGTAAAATATCAATAATATTGTTATAGTCATCTCTTTGTTATCCTTTCTTATGAACTAGTAACAAGGAAACACTTGTACAGCGAGAAAATGCAATAGGAAGCAATAAAATTTAAAATTTGAAATGGTTGTCAGCCATCTTGGATCCGCCATGCTGGATCCGCCATCTTGGATTTCCGTTTTTTTGTTAAAATTATAATTTAAAGCAACTTTCAAACGGGAAAAAGCTCAGAATGTATAAAAGAAGTATCAAACTAATGTTTATTACCCAAACACATGACTTTGGAAGTGTTATGTGGAAAATAGAGCAGCATATTTGTCAAAGCAAAAAAGTGACAAATTTTACCCCACCCCTCCCCCCCAAATATTCGATGTTGAAACATTTTGATGTAATTCAAAAACTAGTCCCAAGCAAAGACCATTTTAACAACAAAAAGCACTATAAGTGTAAAAACGCGATCTTAAAACAAAAAAATCACCATTTTTTAAATTTTCCAAAACCTATGTGTCAGAAACTGGTTGCCATGGCAACATGATTAATCACATGGACATGGTAATTATACCAAAATGTTCCTAGATACATTTTAGGAAAAGTCAGAAAATTTGATCGTCATAGCTCTTTCGGTGTAGGAGTTATCACGATTTTGCCGGAGGGGGGGTTCGAAAAGCTCCCCCCCCCTCAGTCTGAATAGGGTTAAAAAGAACGGAAACATGAACGAGGAACCTGACGAAAGACTTTGGCAAGGATTTAAAGGGAGAGAATGTTCACAAGATATGATCGTGGCAGTGGTAATTGCAATTTAAGCAACGCGACTTATTGGCCTCTGCGTTAGTGCTGCCGTTCTCTACCATTTGAGCTATGAAGACCCATACATTGGGAGCAAGCCAATTTGCTGAGTTCATCTTAACCCTTGAAAATAATGAAACATGAAGACGATGTGATCAGCTTTATTAAGTTGTGATATCATTAATTTAAGACTTCATCCGTGTCTTGCAATCAAAAATAAACAAAACCATTCACCTTGATTGCTCTGGGTAACACTGAGCTTTAGCACAATATTCCCTCGCTGCTGTTGCAACTTCATTTTTAAAAGAGCGTTCCATGTTTTGGTCCCACTGATAAATAATAAAAACAAGCAAAAACATTCTTGCATGAGTAAAAAGCAAAACAACAGCAAACCAAAATAATAGTAAAATAATGATAATAATAATAATAATAATAATAATAATAATAATAATTTTAATTTCCACGTGCAAAATGTGTATTAAACTCTTCCTAAATTGAAAATTAGATACAAATTCAGTATAACTGTGGTTAAAAATGACTTCTTGGTGGTCTGGCGGTTTTCTACAGGGCAAATGTAAACAACTGTCTATAAACTGAAAAATCAAGCTTTCTATGTACATCTCAATAATAAAGTATCTATAGCTGTTGAGTCTAGGGAAGTCCTGCTTGACCCTTCTCTATAATAATAATAATAATAATAATAATAATAATAATAACTATGGAAACTTTATTTGTGTTTTTGAATGTACAATTGTAAATCTCATATAGGCAATTTACAATGCTGCTTGAGATTGGATGACTAAAAAAAAAAAAAAAAAAAAAAAAAAAAAAAAAAAGACAAGACAAGAAATCAAAGTTGTATTAAGTCTGGGCTATCCCAATTCCTATCTCATGGGATCTCATGGAGAGATTTACAAATCTCACACCTCTGTAATTTCTACTAATTTCGTTGATCAAGTTCAGACATTTTTTATTTTTTAAGCACTGCATTCTTGTTAAGGTTAGACTCAAACTTGGACTGGATAAGGAAAAGAAGATCTGGACGATAATTTTCACCAGTTATATAATAATAATAATAATAATAATAATAATAATAATAACAACAACAACAATAATAATAATGATAACAATAATAATAATAATAATAAACATGATAAGAGCTTACAAAAAAAGAAGTAAACACATAAAAAAAAACACAAATTAATAAATATTCATCGTTAATATTTGTTACGTAAAGTGATTTTTTGATATAAGAAAAAAACCCTACCTTTTTTATGTCCATCTTATTGACCTTCAACATAACCGATTCTCTCATCCGTTCATTCGATGGCGTGCTTGGTTTAAGTGTTGAACCATCTGCAGCTGGCGTTGTGGAAGTATTTTGATTTCCGGCTGAATAAGTGCTTGGCGGTAACGTTGAACCAGCTGGAGTGGGCGTCGAATGAGCATTAGCTGAAAGATGTAAAGTATAGAAAGGTTAAAGCTAGAGAAGGTTTATCTTAAAGTGAGAAAAGAGGTTAAACCCCAAGTGATTTTTTTGGTACACCAACATGGCCACCGTCTCATTGTTTTCATGCGAAAACGATTTAGAAAATTACATGGAACAGTCTTAAGTATGAACGCTAAAGATAAAACGAGACCATAAAACGTTACCACCGATCCATATGTCAGTTGTTTTACAATTAGGAAAAGACAAGTTTG